CCGCCGGGGCGCTGCGCACCGAGGCGCTCGGTGCTGGAACTTGGCACGCCGAAGGGGGATCTGGGCTAAGTGCCACCTCCATGAGGAGCTGCTTGAGTCTAAAGTCCCGCTCCTTTTTAGTCCTGGGTCTGAAAGCCTTACAGATTTTGCACTTATCTGTCTGGTGGGACTCTCCTAAACACTTCAGACACGAGTCGTGCGGATCTCCCGTTGGCATAGGCTTAGCATAGGACGCGCACAGCTTAAAGCCAGGAGCCTTGGGCATGAGCCCGGCTATGCGCCGGGGGAAAGGGGGGGAGAAATAGCCCCCTTAACTTCTGCTAACTATTTACAACTATTTAAAATTAATGAACTATTTACAATCTAAGAATATTCTACAACTATAACTACAACTATCTATAAGAATTACAGGATAAGCTAGGGAGAGTGGAGAACAGCTATGCCGCGCTCCACAGTTCCAACGACTGTCGGGGCGGTAAGAAGGAACTGAGGGGGCGCTGGGTCGGCTGGGGTATATATCCAGCGCCATAAAGGCGCCACTCCAGGGGGCTCCACAGCCGACCCACCGGGTGTTGCTAGGGTAGAAAATTTCTCCGACGATCGTGCACGCGGCGCGCGCACACCTAATTGGAATCGATATGAGCAAGCACTCGAAGAAGAAGATTTTGTTACCACCCTTACACATCAAGCTGGGTCTGATGAAGAACTTTGTCAAGGCCATTGACAAAACACAAGCAGCTTTCAAGTACCTCCGTGGAAAATTTCCAAGGTTAAGTGAAGCTAAGATAAAGGAAGGTGTCTTTGTTGGTCCTCAGATTCGTAAACTTCTTCGAGAAGATGCATTTGACCATGCACTGCGTGTCAAGGAAAAGACGGCATGGAAAGCCTTCCAGTTAGTGGCAATAAATTTTCTCGGAAACAACAAGGCAGACAACTACAGGTTGTTGGTGGAAAACCTCCTCAAGGCATACAAAGCCTTGGTTGCAACATGTCACTAAAGATACGTTTTTTGCACACTCGTCTAGATTTTTTTCCACCGAACTGCGGAGCAGTGAGCGACGAGCACAGCGAGCGATTTCACCAGGGCATTGCAACAATGGAGAAACGCTATCAGGGCAAACGTTATCACCCCACCCCCAGTTATCGGCTCCCTTTGGCATTCACACTCCATACAGTTTTCACACCAGAGACCTGCTTGGGATAAAAATAAAAAGTTTATTTAATAGAAAAACCACAGATTCAAAGATGAAATAGTAGGGGGAGAGCAAACATATATAAATTACAAAGAAAATAAACATAACCTCAGGCTTTACAGTTACAATTTTCTATATATGCGCACACACCTTCACAACCATAACCTGTATACATATCTCATAATGACTAGTAAGTTCATTGCATTTACAGACATTCATAAAAGATTTTACTTAATATATTCTTAGAGTTAAATAACACAGTATGCGATCAGTTGCTTTAACTGCTTATTTCTGGGGGGATTAAACCTTCTGTCCTCCCTTGGGGTGTCTAGACCCTGATTATCACAGTTTCTAATGAAACAGTTAAAAGCTAGCTTAATAACATAACTTCTGATATTATGAATTATTTACTGTTAGTTTGCAGAACAAAAAAAGAGTTGTATTAGAAAGTTGAAGTAATCCAGTAAGGGAGTTATTTACAGTGTAAAATTAGTGCTGGACTTGCAACTCCTGCCAGCTAGAAAAGTAATTGCAAGCTATATGCTTCAAAACAGAGTGAAACGGCTAGTATTTTTGGTTGACACACTATTTGGCACAGACCCAAAAGCACTGAGCTGTGAACGGTTGTCTTTGTGTTTGTGGGGTCTAAAGTGGCAGCAGGCAAACAGAGAATAATGGAAAGGAGTCTAGAGGGCAGGTGGGACTTAAAGTTAATCTTTGCTAATCTAGAGTCATTTACAGAATGGTGCACTCATCTTTAAAATATGGGGTTTATTTTGTACTATTAATGTATTTATACCCAGCTGTATTTTCTGAAGCATATGTCATCAATTTAAAAATATATATTATCTGTATTTTTGTTTTGATTTTTCATTCAGGTTGTCAAGTGAACATACATTTCCTTAACATCAGTTAAACAAAATAATACAAGCTCTTTTGAGAAGAGTATTATATTTGAACATTAGTAGGAACATTGGCAATTGTATAATAAAGTCCTTACTATATTATGTTTTAAATTTTGCTCCTAGCCGGAGTTTGGGTTTTTTGGTATGGTAATGATTCAATCTGGTTTTACTTAATTAATGATACTTTTAATGAGTACGCAGTGCACCATCATTACTATTGTCACCTAGCAAATTATTTTAAACTACTAATTGAATTTTCTGTGTCAAAAAAACATACTGTTGCCAATATATCTGTAAGGGGCTACATTTCTGAGGTGGTGGTAAGCCTCCATGAGACTCCAAGAAAGGGCTAAAAACATGTGGCTTTCTTAATCTGGTTGTTAAATGTTTGGGTCACAAACATGGTTGTTTTTGTAGTGTGTATGGGAACTTAGAACACTTGGGCAAACATCCCTTTGCTTGCAAAAAGTGGTGAGGGCTTCTGTTTTATATCCCGTCCCAAAAAACCAGCACTGCAAGCAGCACAGGGCCTCCTTAAACACTGTGCTGGGGAGCTGGCTCATTCAGTCTGATAAGAGTAAATCCCAAAGTGGTATAGCTGCAGGCCCTTGTAAGTTTTGAATAAAGTTGCACTGTGGTTAATATACTTAAGGAATCTTAGAAAAATGTAATGCTTGGTTTGCTTCCCAAATCTCTTGGGGTCCCCTCCCCCCCATATAGGCCAAGTTGCCCAGATGCTGTCCAAAAAGTTGGTTGTGGGAACAAACTATTTGTCATTTAATGTTTCATTTTATCAATACTTTCTTGCATGACATCAAAATCAAAAAATGTGTTGGGGTGTTATATAAAGCATGATACCAAGACCATAATATCCTTAAACGAATAATTGTAAAACAAATTAAAATATTTTATTGATTCTGAGCCACTTTCTGCTATCAGATGTTCATGTCCAACTTTTAAAAATATTGTAACCTGAGGCCTCATCCTGCAACCAACCCTTACTCATATGAACATACTCCCATTGAAGTTAATTGAACCATAATCTTTTGAGAAATGTCTAAGGCCCTGATCCTGCAAATGTTTACACGCGTGCTTAACTTTAAGACAGCAGAACTACTCACATGCTTAAAGTTAAGCATATGTGTGTTTGCAAGATGGAATAGTAATTGTGTGAGTTTGAAAGGAAAAAAGTACATTTGTGGAATGACACCTGAATATATAGTTCTTAAGCTTTAGAGTAAAATGCTGGAAAAAAGAAAATTCTGCATTAGATAACTTAGGCTGTCTGTCAGGTCCAGATGTCACCCACTAGAAGATTGCTTTAGCAGGAATAGTTTATGATCCAAATTCTGTTCTGTTATTCCATTGAAAATCTGAAGTTGTAGCACCACTGATATCACAGAAGTTGCTCTGGGTCTGTACTGGTGTAACTCAGAAGAATTTAGGCCTTCATCCTTGCAACAGGTAAGCTTAAGAAAAAGTACTTCTGTGGGGTATTCCTGGAAACCCCACCGGACTGAAAAGAGAAGGAGAAAAAAAGCAATGAATGACAGTATGGGGGCTCAAAGCCTGCACTTGTAAAGAAGAGGAAATGGTGTTTACATATTTGGTTAGTTTGAAGCTTGTTTTTACAGAGTGAGCATTGATTAATGAAGAGAATTAGTTTTTAGAATAATCATATATTTTTATTTTATTTATTTGCCTAGAGTCCTCAACTGAAATTGAGGCTCAATGGTGCTAGGCACTGTACATGCATGTATTGTGAGGCAGTCCCTCTCCCAAAGATCTTACATTTTTAAATAGGCAAAAAGCAAGAGACAAGGCTATGTAGTTGCCCCAGGTCACACAGGATGTCTGTGATATTCTCAGGAATTGAACCCAGGCCTCCTGAGTCTGAGACAAGTGCTGCAACCCTTTCAGTCCTGTAATACCTGCATGATAATTTTACAACAGAGAACTTCATTCCACGGGATCATTAATCCAGCACCCTTCATGGGTGCTTAAATTCACCCCTGTTAATTTGGGATGGAGGGAGGAGTGTGGAAATAAAACAGCTCTGCTAGCTATAGCCAAAAACGCTTTTCTGTGCGCGAATTGGTCAGTACAAAAACATCAGCAAGCACATATTGAATGAGTTAGGACCACAGGGGGAAAATTGTGGAGCAGTTCACTTTCCTGAACCTAAATTTCTCTTGAAGTTTTTCTAATACCCCCTCATCAATTTCTTGAGAATAATTAAATATTTTGGGTAAAGACTAAACTTGTATAATAGCTGCATGGCAATCCAATGATAGCAGTGTTTGTTTTGTTAAATTAATCTCTTGTGTCTTATCTGTGTACAGTAAAATACTGTCTGTGGAATGGCATTATGAAACACACTGGTGCTAAACAGCTTTCCCACAAAATTCTCCTTAGGTTGAGGAAGATAAGAACCACCACTGTCGTCTAATTCACCCTGCCACCTATAAAGCAGTTCTGTGCATTTCCTTCTTAATTTGGAGGCATGTAGGGAATACTAGGTCTGTGGGGCTCTTGCAGGTAAATACTGTAAATTAGTTAAGGAGAAGAGAATGTTGCCTTTTTCCCCTTCTTGCATTTAAGGACAAAAACCCTTTGTTTTTATGCTGATTTTTTTTTAAAAAATTCTTGTCCTCCTTTTGTAGCCATGCACTAAAGCAGTTTATGATACATTAAATATTGTTTAAATTTTATTTTCAAGTTTTCTATTTCGCTTCTGGTCAACAGACAAAATCAGAACTCTCTGTTTGTGAAACAATCTGGTTAGCTGATGTTAACCAAATTTGTTGTGTGGAAACCAGTATTTATCAGAAGACAGACATTTATTGGTACAGCATGAGCAAACTGTACAGAACTTCTGCTTATTCACTTTCATTGTATTCCTAAAAAAAAAAAGCTGCAGTCTTGAAAATTGAACTCCTTGTCAGTCCTTTTATTCTTATGGGACTGTTTAATATTAAACTAAAAGTATATACTGTCATCTGTATGCAACAATTTTAAATAAGTTTCTGTGCATTAAAACTCTTAATTGACTGTGCGTAGCACTATATTTCCTAGTTAAGGAGGTATTGTAAAAGGAAGGATTTATAATTGGGGGGTCAGATATTAAACTTGAGCTGTTCAGAATCATGAACAATTTTTTTTTCTTTCTTGGCTGGCTTTGGAAGAGCAACTCTAGTTTCATTTGTGAGTATGTCTGAATCTAAAACAGGCTACCTCTTCTGTTTGAGCTTGTTCTAAATTGTTAAAATACTTAAATATTACAATTCTTATTTTTGAAGTAATGTCATGATAATAGAACAGAAAATTTAGTTCCCAGCATGAAGTATGACGTTCCTGTCGTGGCTTTGGCACATCAGTCACGTACATCCTTTTATTTTATATATTTAAGTATTTATTTTTATTCCTTTAACTACAGGCTAAATTTGAACAGAGTAGATTCTATCCCTACCTCTCCTTTTCCCCTCCCAAAACCCCCATCTAATTATTTTTTAAGATTTGAGTTTATTCTTTACCATTGAATCTAATAATTTTAAATAGTTCCTGAATAATTGTTTCTAGACAGTTAGGTAGATCAGTGAGAGAAGACCAACTACCCAGACCTAAAGAAGAGCTCTGTGGAATTTAAAAGCTTGTTTCTTTCACCAGCAGAAGTTGGTCTAATAACAAATATTACCTCACATGCCTTGCCTCTTTCATATCCTGGGGCCAACGTGTCTACAAAAACACTGCAAATAATAGTTAGGTAGAGTGTCATGTAACCTACATCATGATTTATGGCTGTGCCTTTATGTGCACATGTATATGTTTATAATTAATGCAAAACTGATTATTTGGTACTTATTGGATTCCCCATATTCAGCACCCACTTGTGTTAAGACATTGAAGCGAGAAAGTGTGATCTTTGGAGTAAAAAAAATTAGTGTTGGTTATAATTAGGCTTTGGAACATTTAGCTTAAATTTACTAATACATAAGAAAAGGTCAGAGTTGAAGTTAATTGTGTAGAAGATGGGGAAGTCTTGAGTGCCTTACGTTATTGTTACAGAATATAGAAGAGGGCTTACTCAATTAGGTTATTTAAACACAAAGAAAACAAAGCTTATTTTTTAATAAGGCATATGGCCTTAGCAATTAACTACTGATTCGTTTACAAGAAGCCTCTGTGTGTGCTTCAGTTGTATACAGAGAACTAGGTAGAGTAAAAGCAGGCAGAAATACTCATGTGGAAATCATATATTTGCTTGGGGGGGGGGAAATCTTTGACTAAAATATCTTGATTTAGGACAAAAACAAGCTGCGCTTATGCTCCCTGAATATTTAGTCTCTTTAAAAAAAAAATCCAACATTATACATCTGCTTAAAAATAATTAACAGCTTGTCCGTGTCTTGAAGGCACAGAGTTGATAGCACTAATCTTCCACTGTTGTTTCCAGCCAAGTTGCTAGAGAAATACACAGTGGTTGCTTCTTTGGATATGTCTACACTACAAGCTATGGGTGTGATTCCCAGCTTGTGTACACATACTCTCACTAGCTTTCATTGAGCTAGCATGAGTATAAATAGTGTAGCTGGGGTTGCATGGACAGTGGCAGCAGTGAGTGCGTACCCACCAGTTTCAGGCAGGTTTATACTCAGCACTGTTAAGCTGTTCCACCACTGCCTGTGCTACCACAGCACACTACTATTTATACTTGTGCAGCTTGATGAGAACTAGTGTGAGTATGTGAATGCGAGCTGGGAATCACACTCCTAGCTCGTAGTTGTGCCTTAGTTCTGCCTTGCTAAAATTGATGCAGACTCACGTACGTTGCTAGTGTAGAGAGGCTTAGGGGTCAGAATCATAACATTTGGGCCATGCTTCTGCTGTTGTTATTGCTTCTACTCTTTTCATAGCCATTCTACCCCATTGTGCTTTCCTTTGCATACCGCCTCAGCAGAAATCCCAGTCCAACATATGATGTAAAGCATGAACCACTGGAGGGTCACCAGTCTGAGGAGGTGTCTTGAAGTAATTAATGGTTGTATGTTGAATGTGAAAAGTCTGTTGGGATAATTAGAAGTTTCTTCAGTGTCAACACATGTGAACTGAGGTTGGCGTGAATGTTAATGGTGATTTAACAAGCGACTTCCTTGATTTTTAGCGTTTGCATTGTTTTTCATAAGGGGGTACCTGAGAGTGCTAATAAAAAGGCAGTTATTAATGTGCCTTATAAAATGTAGACTTAGTGTCTTCTTCTATTCCACACTGATACATGGGTTTCCTTTATGAAAGAGGACAACTCTCAGTGCTGAATTAAATAGATTAATTCAGGTACACCTCTACCCCGATATAACACGACCTGATATAACATGAATTCGGATATAACGCGGTAAAGCCGCGCTCCATGGGGGCGGGGCTGCGCGCTCCGATGGATCGAAGCAAGTTCGATATAACGCGGTTACACCTATAACGTGGTAAGATTTTTTTTTGGCACCCAAGGACAGCCTTATATTGGGGTAGAGGCGTATTTGAAAGTGTTGGTCTGGAAAGGACTATTCATAGGTATCTTTGATTAATAGTCATAGAAATTATGAACCTCCACTAGAGTGGGAGGAAAGTAGATCCCTCATACTGAATGTAAGAACACTCCACTTGAATTGGAGAGAAAGAAGTTTCAAAGAAAAGAAGCTATGTGAAGTATTCTTCTCTTGAAGGAGCAGCAGAAGTTTATTTCCTAAAATAGTGTGGTGGGGAGAGGGAAGTTTTGGAATCTTTTACATCATGTGGTAATAAGGAATTACCTCTGTAAATAAGTTTTTAGATTTTATTAGCTTGTTCCTAGATAGTTTATTCTTAGATCTTTGGGGTAGCACCATCATCATTATGCATATGTGTACAGTGCCTAGCACAATAGGGGCCACAGGGCATCTAGGCACTACCCCTATACACACAAATAAAAACGTTCACCAACGCTGCCATGGAAACATCTGGATATTTCCAGTATGTTGCATAATGCTCTAAAGGGAATGGTAATCAGTCTTCTGCATCTGGATCAAACTCCACAGGCAACTGAGCCCTTATTTACATTATCTTCTTCAGTACACTATCACTTGTGTGCCAGGAAACATGGAGGCTGAGCGCAAATAAAGTACAAATGGCACTTGCTATGTTTAAATTCTTTGGCTTATTCAGGCAGGCAGTAGTGTGTAAAAAATTATACACACCGAAATAGTCTAAGTTAAGAGCTTTGAAGCTATTTGTCAAAGGTACTGAGACTGAGTCACCTTGTAACCCTCTTGCCTTCAGCAGAGGGAGACTTGCTTATGATTAACTGGGTGTCAGCTGCCTGATGTCACCAGTCTGTTAGCCACCCAGGCACTCTCCTCTGGGTAGTGCCAGCCCTAGTATTGCCTTGCAGGTTAAGAATAGGCGTACTGACCCCTTTGAAGCGCTGCCTTGTAGCGTCCAGCCCCTTATCCACAGAATTCTTACCGAAATACCAGGTCTGCTGTCACATCAGTGTACTGTGATTCAGTTCAGGATCAATAACTTGTTACCATAGCACTGAGATGTATTTATATTGAAAACAATAAGTTTATTATCCAAGAGATAATGAATAAGGATAATGGAAACAAAAAGGTAACCAATGAAACAAAATCATAACATGTTCTAGAGATTAAACAGGCTAAACCTCCTGTTTAAAGAAGTTTCTCTCACCCCAAATATCTTCTGCAATATTTGCAACCAAGGCTGGTTCAGATCTTATTTTCATGAATGTCAACATGCTGCCCATCTACTTTGTAAGTGCTGGATAAGGGCGTGTCTTCCTTGTCTCCTCCTCATATCCAACAGAGATACAGGTGAATAAGTATCCCCTGTCTGACAGGAAACTTGTTTCTTCTGCTGTGATACAGAATCATATTTACAGTATACATACATAACTACTTTTGTAATCTGTACATACATTTCAGAACAATAAGAATGACCAGTGGCCTTGGCTTTCAAATAAAACATCACATCACATTCGTTGGTGAAACAAAATGTACATACTAGAATCAGGATATCCTTGTAATGCTCTTGCCAGTTGTCACTGAGGAGTTCTTTGCGTCACAAGTCTGCAAAGAATTATACATTCAAAATAGTCTAGGACCAGGTTAAGAGAGCTTTGAAGCTATCTATCAAGGTATTTTATACGGCCACCATTGTGTCTGAGCAGTTCTTAATCTTCACCCATGTGAGGTAGGGAAAAGTACTATTATCCCCATTTTACGTATGTGGAACTCAGGCACAGAGAGACAAAGTGACTTACCTTGGATCACACAGGAAGCCTGCAGATAGAGCAGGGAATTGAAGCCGAGTTGCCTGAATCTCAAGCTAGTACCCAAATCCCTGGATTAGCCTCTTTTGTGGCCCTCAGGTATTTTGTTTAAAAGGGAATGTCTACACAAGTGCTACAGTAGCACTGTTGCAGGGTAGACACTGCAGTGACAGAAGGGGCTTTTCTGTTGCTATAGTAAATCCACACCTTAGAGAGACGGTAGTTAGGTCAACAGAAAAATTCTTCTGTTAATCTAGCTACATCTAGAGAGGGGATTAAGTCAACCTAAATATGTTGCCTGGGTCTTGAATTTTTTCACAGCCCCGGGTGATGTAATGTAACTAGGTTGACCTAAGTTTTAGGTGTACAGCAGGCCTAAGGGTCAGGCTAGTTGGATGGCATAGCCTGAGTATAAGCAACACACAAATATGTCTATAAGAGCTTATCTGGAAGTGATTTTTCTTTGCTTAGGAATTTCATTATGGTAATGTTAATTTTTGGGACACCTGGGAGAGAGACACCACATCCAACAAAAGAATAGAGGCGCTCCTTTTAGTAGTACAGTATCCCAATACAGGGATAACCTTTCAAGACAAAGCAACTCCACCAAGTCATGGTCTCATTGAAATCATTTGGAGTTTTTCTTATTGACTTCAGTTTTGCTCAGTGTGAACCCAGCTAGCCACCGTACAAACTAGGGAAGTCAATTTTGTGCATAGAGTTCTAAGTGGCCTCAAGCAGCCATCTAAGAGAGAATCTGAAGAAATTAGAGTATTCTTTGAGAGCATATGGGCTGCAGCAAAAAAGGTGAGTTTTATTGGACTGGGTTGATGCATCCCTCTGAGTGCCTATAATGTGAAATCCAGCATGTCAGGATCTGATGAGCCCCAGTGAGACATGTTTGCATTCCACACAGGCGGCTTTCTTCTTTATACATACTGCATGTAGCAGGCTTCCCATTCTCTGCCACCCCAATTGACAGTCATCAGTGATTGATGGGACACACTGTTTGGAAGACAGGAATGGAATCTGTTGATTGAGGTGGGGGAAGAGGGAAGTAGAGCTGCTGAACAGCAAACTTCATTGTCCTTGTTTGATATTACAGGGGTATAGATTAACTTTTTATTTGGGCAGGGGGTGCGCTGGAGTGTTTAAAAAAAGGTATTGAATATCACTTTAATCAGTAGTTTTGTACCATAACTATAAAAGTGGATAGATTTCCAGTGAGATAACTAGCTTCTTTTCTGCGCTCAGTGTTTGTTTATTAATGGAATCCCCAAGTCCCCTACCTGTCTACACCAGAGCATCTCAAAGTGGCGGTCCGTGGACCGGTGCCGTTCCGCGAGCCATCGGCTGCCCGTCCACGGCGAGTTTCGTCATAAGAGCGTCGAATAGGATAATAATGTGGCACTGGTCCCTGGCACATTGGGGGGAAAAAAATTGCCAGTCCCCCACATTAGATAGCTTGAGAAGCACTGGTCTACACCCATGTATTACTAAACTAGATTGAACACAAAAGCAAGATAGTCGTAGCTAATTGCAGGCATATAGCAAAACAATGTCTGATACAGGCATAGTCCAAGTACTGTTTGTGACGTTGAGCTGTCTATGGTTTTATAAAAATATGATAATTGAATATAACGTAACTGGGATATGCTTCATGCAAAAGGTCTCTTGTAAGGTATCATTACAAAGCTTATAATCTACTGAGTGTGATCATCCTATTTGTATAAATGTACCACTCTTGTATCTGAAACTAGAAATATGAAATATAACTCTGAGAGCCTATTGTAATTATGCAAAGAGTGGGCCATTAATGGTGGTTTGGAATCTTGATGACTCCCATTAACCAGGACCATTATCTGCAGATGTCTGTGTTTTACTTGTGAGTCTCCCTGTATATGTGTGTGCTGGCAAGTGGGTAATGCAGTCTTGCAGTGACATGTGATCATGTCACCTGAACTGGAATCCATCTTTAACCTGGTACTTTTCCGGGGGGTGGGGGAGAACCCAGAGGGACAAAGGGTTCCCGCCTTATGCAAAAGATATATAAAGGGGTGGAAGAGAACAAAGGGAGGAGCCATCATGAAGAATCCCCTAGCTACCACCTGAGCTGAAACAAGAGCTGTACCAGGGGAAAGAATTGTGCCCAGGCCTGGAAGGTGTCCAGTCTGAGGAAAAAAACTTACTGAAGCATCTCTAAGGGTGAGATTATCTGTATTTAGTTTGATTAGACATAGATTTGTGCATTTTATTTTGCTTGGTGACTGACTTTGTTCTGTCTGTTACTACTTGGAACCACTTAAATCCTACTTTCTGTATTTAATAAAATCACTTGTTCCTTATTAATTAACTCAGATATGTATTAATACCTGGGGGAGCAAACAACTGTGCATATCTCTCTATCAGTGTTATAGAGGGTGAACAATTTATGAGTTTACCCTGCATAAGCTTTATACAGGGTAAAACGGATTTATTTGGGTTTAGACCCCATTGGGAGTTGGGCATCTGAGTGCTAAAGACAAGCACACTTCTGTGAGCTGTTTTCAGGTAAACCTGCAGCTTTGGAACAAGTAATTCAGACCCTGGGTCTTTGTTGGAGCAGATGGGATTGTCTGGCTCAGAAAGACAGGGTGCTGGAGTCCTGAGCTGGCAGGGAAAATCGGAATAGAAGTAGTCTTGGCACATCAGTTGGCAGCTCCCAACGGGGTTTCTGTGATCCAACCCGTCACACTGTTGCTTCATTTTATAGAACTTATTCTGAGTGTTGCCAATTAAATATTCAAGTCCTTGGCCCCTTTCAAAAAGAGTGCAATACTATGCAATGTTGACTATATTTACAAAATACTAACAAAAGACATAACTATAAGCATGTTATTGCCACATAATGGTACACTAGCTATGATCAGACCTTACAAACATCATGCATACATGTATCTGAGGGAGAATATAAACCCCAAAACAAACTTTGTTCATTTTGTTCTGTGGATGCAATAACTAAATGGCTTACTATTTTAAACAACCTAGTTTTAAGAAATAATTTGTAGGTCAACATTACTCCGTCTCTCCCATCCTCATCTCTGAGTTAACATTATCCCTTCTAAGCTACTAAAATAACTCTGATGTTTAAACATAAATTGGAGAGCACATAATCTTGTCTTGAATATTTTCTTATCTGATAAGTGGATATTTTTGAAAGACTTAAATGTTTTAGGTTGTTTATAAACTTCTTTTAATTATCCTGATCTTTTGAGTCTTTGTTTTCTTCTGGGGTAATAAAGAATTTTATCTCTGTGTTAAGAAATACTGTTATAAACCCTAAGTGAGATTTTCTTTTCTTAGACTGCAGAGAGCATGTCACAGAAGATGCAAAAACAGAATCCATCAGTGACTCACCCGACCTGGCTCTGCCACCTGAAATGCCAATATTAATTGATTTCCATGCCTTAAAAGATATCCTGGGGCCACCTATGTATGAAATGGAGGTAAGTCTTTCATTTTTCTTTGTCTGGCAGCTTCTTACTTTTCACTTAAAATATTTTTGTTCATAGTGATTAGTAGTTCCATCGCTGGTGACTGATTTTGTTTAGGATGTGGGTTTTCTTCTTTTTTAATGTATTTTTGATATAACTGTTTCTCCTCCTTTCATGACCCTTGTCCCTAAGCACCTTTTCATCTGGACTGCATCCAACAAGATTGAATTTCTTTAGGTGAAAAAAATAAACAAGTATACTGTTTGGTAGTGTGTAATAGTCCTAAGAGATGACTACATGTTAGCTAAGATCTCCGCAGTTAATAATGTGTTGTTTTTGTGAGAGTTTATACATTTGTCTTGGGCAAAAAGCCAAAAGCCGAACCCAGGAAACCTGTCTCCTAAACAGAGGCCCTAACAGCTAAGCCCGAATCCTAATAAAAATCAGTCAGGCTTTTTAGGTATATAAAACCAGCCACTTCACTTTATACCACTTGCTACCAAAAATTTTGTTTTGTGACTCTACAGCCCCATCCCAACTTTAGTCTCCCATGCCCTGTCACTCAAAGGGCATGCCTCCAGTCCTCCTGTTACCTCCTTTCCGCATGTGGTACTTTGTTCTCTGTTATACTACCCAGCTACCATTCCTCAAGGTAGACTCCCTATCTTGAGATTCTCCTTTGGCTACTTGCACTACAGTTATTCTCTGCCTCACCCTGGATCCAGGTTAACTTACTGAGCAGCAAATGGTGGCTGTAGTACTCCATAAATCAGCATCTTGTACCACAGGAGAGTAAAACAGTTGCTGCTGCAGAGTGCCATGTTTGTTTCCTTAATTCTGGAGAAGGGAGCAATGAACCAGTAAGGAATACAAGTGAACAGGAAACTAATGGGATGTGAAATGCTTGCTTCTAGTAGCTTGTCCCTGAAGTTCCCTCTCACTGCGATGGGAGGGCCAGACTGTGAAGGGATTTGGAGGAGAAAAAGGCAGCTGGGGATGCATGGGCTGGGGAGGAAAATGAGTTAATTGTTTGGGATTGAGCTGAGGGGGTGCAGAGCGTAAACCTGTCAGGGATGAAGAGATTGGTGGTCATGGAGGGAAAGGGAAATGAGGAGACTGGGAACAATGGGATTGATTGTGTCAGAAAGGGATGATGAAAAAGTGATTGATGGTAGCAGGGAAAGCTGAGAATTTGGGGGAAGGGAGGAGGACTCAAAGTGAAATGTTGGGCAATAATGTAAATTTATATCTGTCTTTGGTGGGATAAGCTCACATTAGCAATTTTGGCCTCTGCACTTGCACATCGGGAGGTAGAAAGTACAGAAACTTGCTTGTCAAATCAAAATCATTTGCCTTTCAGCAGTCTCCATCCTTACATTTCAGTCCCACAGAAACATCCATGCCAATCCCAACAATAGAATTTGGGCAGATGACAATTTGAGAGAGAGTTTGATTTAAGATCATGCCTTTTAAATCTCTTGCCTAGTGTTGATATGACTGTGTTTAATTGCAAGTGGCCATCAAATTATTTGTATTGTCTACAGCTTTTACAGGAATTGCTTGTGCTGTCTTTCCTTGTAGCCCGTTGCTTTTGGAAACAAGAAATGAGTGAAATACAGGAAGGGTCTTTCAAGTAAAGAATATTTTATATCATCTTCTCAATTATACAGATTTCCTTTGACCACTGAAAATTTGGTCGTAAGGGTAGGATCTGAAGGGATCACCTGAGTATTACTTGAATTTTTAATGCTTTAACTGCAGATTTGTCGAAAGCTATTACAGTGACCCACGGATTTAAATATTCAAGGGATTCAAAGCCTAGGCAAAGCTCTGATCTATACACATGGTGATCATGAACTGGACAAGTCTACTCTGTTGCTAGTGGAGATTTCATAGTCATAAAAATTTGGGGATAAAACTAAATTATGGCTTTAAATACAGCAGTGTCAACAAGGACTCTCTCTGCATATCCCAACAAAAGTTCACATACATACACAGCTACACACCAGTTTCCCGTCAAGAAGAAGAGTGGTTCTTGAATCCTTTCAAAACGGTTGCATTTCTTTGTATTCATTCGGGTTACAGACAAAACAAAAGATCCCAGCATTTTGATTTATGACTTTCATCAGTTCTCTCAGTTTGGAAACAGTTCTAGAAGAGGGTTATTCAACTGGGAAAGGCGTGCACCTCTTTGTGTACTGTTTTTGCTAATTTGTCACATTTCCCCAAATATTTTAATTGTTCTGAAGCTCTTCAGGGATAAATATTACAAGTCAAATTTTTAAACCTCGTTCCTAATTCTACATGTACAAATATGCAAGTGCCACTATTTGCATGTAAACATTTTTGACATACTTGGAAGTCAGGGGTCCAAACCAAATGGCATATATAGCAATAGAGGTGAAGCCAGGCAAAGCCTCTCAGCACCTGGAAATTTCTCTGTCTCTCATCTATTACTTGTACTATGTATTACTAGGAAATTTATCCCTGAGCAATCCATCAGTTACTGTTTCCATAACTAACTGTTGGTAGGCATAACCTAAGGGTAATCCGCTTCCAGGAAAACACATAGTGTTGGCTGGTAGTTATATAAGTATCTTGTGGTACATAAATATTGCATGGATTCCAGAATATTTCAAAACACTTTGGTTCATGTGAATTTTGTGTGTGTTTAATTCCAAAGATGATCCTGTGACTCTTTTCTAATGAATTTCCTCACATTCTTTTTCTAATGAACTTCCTCATATGGCCAAGTGATTCTCTTTCTAATGAAAAGTGTAGCCCTCATCCCAAAGAAGGCTGGGTTCCATTTGTTTTTCTTTTTTGCAGCCTGCACAGAGTCTCATTTCTCTTTATATCAATCTTTTGAGAGCTTCACCTCTGACCTGCATTCTGCCATATATAATTAGCTGAAATCAAGACACAATGAAGGTGATTGTCATGTCAGTACTTACTTGTAGTGTATCAAGCAAGGAGGAATTGAACACTTAAAGCGATTGGACTGATTTGCCTTCCCCAAGGGTAAATACCTTCGATTGAGACCTTTTTAATAAATTAACCCTATAATTTTATGCTGAGCTCTCCCAATAGAAAGGGACAGAGGGCTAAATCTTCAGAAAGACTTAGTGTTGGACATAGGTGCCCAAGGTGCCACTGAGATCCTCAAAACCCTTGTTCAGCTGCTGCTTAACTCTGTAGCCACCTAAAGTTTCCAGGCACCTGATTTCGACCATTAAAATCCCTTAGGTGCCTAGGGT